GGTGAGACCGGCCACCTAGCTGTCCGCTCCTGGATTGACTCCATCATTCCCTGATTCCAACTGCTGGCTGAAGAGAACCACTGGATGAAGACAATGTTCGCTCTTCGGCTAAGAGAAGTCACCTGGCACGGCATTGGAGGTACTTTGGGGCTCTTGGTTGCCCTAGGATTCTGTGATGTGCTTGGTGTGTTCGGTTAGTGTGAATTGAGTTAACTGCTTGCATTTGAGGATTGTTGTGATTGAATATATGCTTGCATTTAAAGACAATCTGCCTCTGAGTAATTAAAAGTGCCACTTGCTACATGTGGAAATTTAATTTATGGCTAAGAAGATGATAATACAATGATGGTAGGGGAAGAATTCACCATTTAGTGGTTTGGGAACCAATGAGTGTAGTTAGATCCACTCCTTACACCATTTACATGAATGAATTCTGATTGGATTAAAATTTGATGTCTAAAACAAAAACAGAACTAGTTTAGAAGAATTTATTTCCTAGTTTTGGGGCAGTTTCTATCTATCCAAGCCAGACACAAAACTGAGAAAGATTGGAGCGGGGGAGAGATAGGGAAAATATTTGACTAAATATTGACTTTGAAAATTGGAGCTGAATAAGAAGCAGGGAACTTTTCAGGCCATATGTACATACTTCCTGTACACACACATATTTTAAAGGAATGTGTTCAGGTACTATGTACGTAATTTACAAAGCAACATAAACACTTTTTGAAAAGGTAATAAGGGATTTAAGAATTGTGCTTCATAAGGAAGATTAATAAATCTTTAGCCTGATGTCTCAATAACTTAAATAACACCATGACTTCCAAGGGGTCCACAAAGGCTTAAATACCAAAAAAGTGCTTTGCTGCCACCTTAGGACCTTTGCACTTTCTGTAACCTCTGCCATTTCCCCCTTCCTGTAAGGTCAGGCAGTGGTGACCAAAAGGAGGCAGATTTAAAAAGGCTGCTGAAGGATGCTTTATTGAGATTTCACTCCCGGGAGAAACTCTCAGACCGGGAGAGCAAGAAGAGGGGCTGAGGAGAAACCGCGTGGAGGCTCGACCAGACTGGAATTTTATGGGACTTAGGGCAGGGAGGGGGGCTTGGGACAGGGAAAGGGGTTTTTAGAGTCCCTTGTCCTACTGGGGTTGGTGGTGGGGAGCTGGCTAAGATCCAGGATTGGCCAGGATTGGCTGATTGACAGGCGATTCCATCGTTGCCTGATTGCTGGTTCTATAATGCACGGGCTGCACAGTCTGCTTGTGCTTTGTTCCTAAGTCACATTCATCGACCTAACACTTCCTAATGCTTAGCTCCCTCTCTTCATGGTTTTGCCTGAATGTCACCCTTTTAGGAAGATTTACATTCACTACTTTATTTAAAATTATAAGCCCCCATTTCTTTGGTCTGTTTTACTCTTTGTCTTAGTTCTTATTTGACATACTTTTGTGTTGTTTCTATCTCTAGCTTCCTAGAAAGTAGACTCCATGAGGGCAAGGTATGTCCATTTTGTTCACTGCGGAATCCCTAGATCCAGAAGAGTATGGGGAATTTAGCCGTGTCACCGATTAGGGGTTCAAATGTCTCCAAGAGCCGAGGAGACCTCTATTAGAAACTTCCAGATTCTTGACCACATTGCAGAAAAGAATTTAAGGACACAGCAGGTTTCAGGCAGGGAGGAAAAGCTTTATTGCAAAGTGAAAGTACACACCCCAGGGCTGAATGCTGAATGCAGGGGCCAGATGGATGGGTTCCCTATCTATAATGTTCTGGGGGATGAATATTCATATACAAGGGTTAAATATGAATGAGATTTTCTGGAATTGGGAGGTCCCTTTGGAGAACTCTGCTCAGCTTCATTAGCATCTAATTATGCAGCTAATGGTTGTGTACATACATATGGTAATCAGTCTTAAAGATTAAAAGAGGTGAAGGTGAGGAAGTCTTCTGGTGGACAAGGACAGGAAACCAGTCTGAAGTTAGCTTGATAGTGTCATCTCCTTGTGGCTGGGTAAGATGTTATTTTAGCCAATCTGATCTTAGCAGGATTTTAGTGGTTAGGCAGGGGTGGCTCACAAGTTGTTTGCACAATGCTACCAGGATATCTGTGGTTAAGTAGGAGCAGCTCATAAACTGTCTTCGTGAGCTGCCTGCTTACATTTATTTCTCCTGTTCCTTACCCCAATTAATGTGTGTTGCACGAGGACATGGTGTTTGGAGCTCTGTGGCCCAGGGAGCTCCGAGATTTCATTAATATAGAAAATGGAATCTCAGACTCCTAAGTGGTGACTCAAGGGTTGCTTTAAGGGGAGCTTCTGGCTCTGGGATCCAAGTATGTAAGCACACTACAGCAGTGATGCATAGAAGCAGAACTGGGGATGTTTCTCATCCTCTGCATGAGGATGCCCTGGTCTTTACCACCTCAGTTGTTTGGGAGATGGGGTGAAGAATGCGGAGCAGTTAGATGGTTCTTCTTGTAACAGTGGTCCACTTTATGCTTTGGATATAATCCTTGCTGTTCTGCTACTGCAACTTATTTTTAAAATGAACCTGTGTTTTTCTCTTCCTCTCTCCCTGCTTCTACCTAATCTCTCCCCCTTCCTACCTCAGGGGAAACAGGATTACCTTTCTCATTCCTTGAGTACACATCCATCATAGGAATGAAGTAATCCAGACTTTGGGGATGGTACCAGAAGATCTCTGAAATAACTGTCTCCAAAATTAACAATTGAATTACAACTCCAACAGAAAACACGTGGAATGTAGCCTTTGAGTCACCTCTTTAAAACCCCCATGTTCCTGCAGATGGGCAGAATCATAGCCCTGTGTTTCTCTTTTGCTAATAAACCAATAAACCTTCTTTTTTCTTTTTCTCAAAACCATGTTCTCCTTATTGGATTGGCAATGGGGACAAGGACTGAGCTTTCAGCAACATTCAGAGCTGCTTGTTTGTGGGGTGGAGGTGGAGAGACAAGGAAGGCAAATGAGTCCTAGATCTGTACTAGGGGCAGAGGCCCATAATAGGCGCTGAGGATGCAGTCAGCTTGAGGGGCCAGTCCAGAAGGATCAGCTTCCAAGTACCCAACCAGATCCCTTGTGTTTAGGCAGTTGCATGCTTATTTATTTATTCAGAGATGGGGTCTCCCCATGTTGCCCAGGCTGGTCTTATTGATACCACCGGTTACCGGTGACAAGTTCTGCTTCCTCACACGTCGAAGCATAATATTAGAGAGGAAGCATATAAAGCAGGGTTTATTTAAAAAGGGGTAACATAGACTTCTCCTGGGAGGGAGAAGAAGGCCATAAGTTGGTATCCTGGTACCCCAAGAAGTGAGAGCATTCTGACTTTTTTATATGTCCTAGGCTTCCTTTGTTCTCCTCTCTTCCCTTTATCTCTCTCCTTCCTGCATGTGTGAGTAGGCCCTGGAGATACCCAGGAGATGCTCAGTGGGATGGCCAAAAGGAGAGAAGCTGATGGGTCCGAGGGCCAAGTTGGAGTGATCAGGGCAGGAAGGGGGCACAATTAACAACTCCCTTAGGAAGGGACAATCCCTGGGACAGGTTACCTTAGCAACAGGTTGGAGCTGAGGCAGGTTATCTTGATAAGGGTGGAGGAAGGGCTCTGAAGGCATTAACATTTCAATCTCTCCTTTCTTTGGATAGGACCCCTGCCTATCTACCTGTCTAATTCTGGCTTCATTATCATGGGAGAAGAGCTGTCTCCCAAGAAGGGTCTGAGGAGTTTCCAAAGGAGAGGGGGGAACTCAACTCAGGACAACTCAACTCAGGACACCTTCTTGGCGTAGGTGATGAAACAGAATTTCACTATGAGCTGGAAAAAGGCATAGACAGAAGTTTATTTAGGAAGGTAGATGCACATTCAAGGAAGAATGCAGGCTGTCTTGAGAGTGAGAAGCAGCCCTGACTTGGGCTGGGGGTCTCATATTTATAGAAAGGCTGCATCAGGGGCCCTACTGGAAGTGGATCCAGGGTGGAGCAGCGCAATTTCAAGCCAGTTTCCCCTGAACTTGTGTATTTCCCTCATTGTACAAGGCCTTGGGCCAAGGGCATGGGCCAAGGGCATGGGTCAAGGGCTCATTGCTCAAGATTTATAACTGTGCTTTCCATATCTCAATGCTTGTGGGTGTTTCCTGCGAGGTTCAGTATTTTTCTCTCTTTATTCTAAATCCCTGAGTCTGAAACTCATAGAATCAAGCCATCTTCTCACATCAGACTCATGAGTTGCTGGGACTACAGACAAGTCTGTGCACAGTTGCATTTTAACATCATTCATTCCCTGCACCTTCGGAAAGATGACACCCTGAAACAAGCCAAATGTAATGGAGGAAAAATTGCCTGCAATTTTTTGAACGTTTAATAATTAAAACGGGTTTGGTATCAGCAAAAGCAGATTGGAAAAAAATTGGAAAGACTTTGAAATAGGCAGAAACATAAGTGGTTGTACTGTGTTATGTGTTCCTTTTATGGACTCTCAACTGTGCAAAATTTCAGAATTGCAAAACCTTTGGGCAAAAAAAAAAAAAATATATATATATATATATATATATATATATATATATATATATATATATATATATATATATATATAAATTTTTTTTTTCACAAAGAAACAGAAGGGGATGGAGGCATGAAAGTGGCCAGGCTTGGAGACACTGGCTAAGGGGTTGCGTGTGTGTATGGGGGTCGCGAACAGTTCTCCCCTCCCCACATTAAGGGGAATAATAAATACTCCTCCTGGCTGGTCAATCAGATGGGAAGGTGGAAAGAATGCAAAATTTTCGGGGAGCCACGGTTTTGATAGCTGACAAACTACTCGGCGGAGGTCTTGAGGGAGGAGGCGAGGAGTGAGGGCACCCCGAGGGAAGAGCGGGGTGAGAGGAGCCTGAGGTGGGGTGGCTGGTGTGGCGGCCGTGGCAGGGTGTGGGGAAGTCTCAGGGGATTCTCGAGGTACAGTGGGGGGGGGGGGAGTGAGGGCGACTGGGCGCCGCCGCCGGAGCCGGAGCATGGAGGACGAGAGCTCCCTCAAAGCCGCAGGTAAGGGGAGCCGCGGCGGATCCGACCCGGTGCGCCCTGGGTTGCAGCCTTCTGCAACCGCCCCTGTTCGCGTCTCGGGTCTCGGGTTTCAATGGCTCATCCCGCCCGAAAGCTCCATGCTCCAGCGCTGCAAAACGAGACGTAAACAGCGCGCCGCGGCCAAGGGAACTTCCCGGAGTAGGCGCCAGGACGCCGCTAGCCGCGCACCTGTTGCCGCCGTTGCCTTCGGGTGGGGAGCGGGCTAGGCGCCCGCGTTTACCCCAGAAAGTTTAAATGCAGGGCACGCGGAAAAAAGAGGAAATGATCCGAGGAGCTGTAGGAGGAGCTGCCACATGTGAACCCCTGGAGGGCACCGTGCTGGGCACCCAGCCTCTGTCGCGGCTTCTCCCAGCCATCCCTGGGACCGCAGGGCTTTAGGACAGCTGACCTGGGCTTGCTCCCTGGGCGGGAATGTGGGCGAGTTCCCTGCATCGTAGGGTCTTGGTGGTCTTGTTTGGGAAATGGGAATCTCACTGTGGGGAAGAGTTCCGTACAGACAGCTCGGGTTACCGCAGTCCCCCAGCCGGGGCAACTGGGATGGGGAGCGGGGGAGGGTGGTCGGGCCCCACTGGGTGCCGGTTCCCACCCGGGCTGCAGTTGTGCGTCAGAAGAGACTCTACTGTCCCAGCCGGGACTTGAGGGCGCTACCCTAAGGCCGCCACCTGTCGGGTCCCAGGTGGTACTATGTCTGGCCCTCTGTTTGGAGGCAGCATCTGAATCTGAAAGCACTTGGGACTGACCCCTAAAAAGCGGATTGTTGGAGGGAGGCAGAGGTAGGGCCATTAGATTCTGAGATAGTACTTCTTTTTCTCTCCTGCATCCTCTCCTCCAGTGAGAACAAGTGGCAGGAAGGGGCCTGGTTCCTGAGGGAGGAAGAGCACCGTGGCCAGCTCCTCTTGTCCCCTTAAGCGTCCAGTTCGCTTACTAGGTGCCTTGGCCCCAGCTGGCGGGCCCCGCCTCACAAGCAGTCAGACCGCAGACTGGCTACACTCTCCAGCCACACATCCCTGTGAGGGAAAACTACGTCTCTTGGAGGCGCCTCTGCTTTTTATTGGAAGCCAATGTCAGCGTCGGAATCACTTGCTTTTATAACGTGCATTTGAAAGCTACGATCGAGTTGTTTTTCTTTTAATTCTAAGTCAATGAGTTAAGGAGAAGGTAGCCGGTAGCTAAGTATATGAATTAGTAACATGCTTCAAGAATGTTTTCGCTGGTCTGGAGATTAAGAGAGTTTTGTTTTTATTTTTGGAGAGATTCTATTTCTTTCTTTTTTTGGTACTTTCTTCTAGAAAGTTAGGGTTTTTTTGTTTGTTTGTTTTTAAGAAAGTTAGTTTTAATGGTTTGGATAGTGAGCACTGTTTCCAGTGTGCATGTTGGAGAAGTGAAGCAAGGAAAAAATGTGACTCTTAAAAAACGCAGAGAAGCCAGTATGGGCTCATTGTACAGCATTGTGTCATTACAGGGAGGTACTCAACCCTGGCTAGCTTCCTTTCTTGGTCTCTGTCTTCTGGTGGTACCATGAAACAGAGGGTTCCCCATGACAAGTGCTTCAGAAATTCGTTTATGCAGTCTTATTTTAATGGAAAAAGTAATGGTAATTTCACCTTCTGGAAAAGTATAGCTGGCCTATAACCGTTTACGGATTTTCCTGTACTATTTCAATGTTTGCTGTGGTTTTGACAGTTACTGATGGCCCAGATGACACACAGCAGTTGCACATTAATCATTTCCACATGTGCCCGATCCTAATGGATTCGAATTTTGCATAGTTGAACCATTGCCCAAGCTTTGATAGCCCTTTTCCAAAAATGGTTTGAGCTAATCGTGTCTGCTTGGGAACACTTTTTCTTTGAGCAAAGAAGCCTGGAACTAGAAACTATGGTTTCAGGTAAGGCTATATCCTAGTTCCGACTCATTTCTGCTTCTGAAACAGGGAAAAGGCATGTGAAGGACCTGGGAGCTGTGTTTTGTGTTTCTGTGAGGCTCCTTAATATGGGTGTGTCTGTTTTCCTAAGGAGTTACAGTCCAAAGGGGATTTGGGAGAACCCTACAATAATTCAAGTTTTCTTGACATGCTCCAAGGCCACACAGAATTTCCTTGCCCCTCCCCCCCATTTCAGAGCCTTTGTATGTGTGTTTTTAATTTCCCCTTTACCAAAGACCTTCTTAGGTTCCACTGGTGCATCTGTTGCTGTCATTTCAGCTTAGAATATACTGGAAAGAAAAAAGAAAGTTAGATGCAGCCTTCTTCTGTTACCTTGAACTTCCCTGTCTCCTTAACTCAGGCTTGACTTCGGCAAGATGAGACCTCTTGTGAGTGGGAGCCAACTGTTGGGCCCACACTCTTGCAGAGTGGACACAGAGAAGGCCATTTGTTTGGACTTTTGAAAAGTTGGGTGTTCTGACAATTTACACTGGTCATAAAGCAGAGTGGGCTGATAGAAAAGAAAGCTAGCAAGCAAGGGGAACTAGAGGGTAACTCGGAAGCTTGGGTAGGAGTAAGGGGGACCGTGGGGATGCTAATAAATAAACTGACTTCTGAGGGTGGGAGGGTACTGGCATGATTTGATTGAGACATAGTGATTTCAGGGTGTTTCAGGACATGCCTCTCATTGGAAATATGAAAAGTTTGTCAGAAATACTAACTCCAGAGTGCAGAAGGAATTCAAGTGGAGAATTCTAGAACCACCAGAGTCTGTGGTGCCTGAGCTCTATTGGGGACCACTGCTATCGAGTGAAGACAGAGCAATGCAGATGGAAGCCTGGGAAGGGTGTCCCTTGGGACATAGGAGGAGGAGAGGACAGAGGGAGAATGCTCAGGGAGGGAGAAGTTCTGGGAACTGGTTTTGAGACACAGATGTGTAGGGGTAGTAAAGGTGATCCCTTGTCTTCCCAACATAACTCTGTAACATGAGGCAGTCTTAATTATGTACACCTGTAATCCTAGCTACTTGGGAGACTGAGGCAGGAGAATCACTTGAGCCCAGGAATTTGGGATAGTCTGGGCCACAGAGGGAGACCCCATCTCAGAAAACAAACAGAAAAACAGAGTAAGAGAAAAATATAACAGATTAATTTAATCCTAGTTTTATGTGAGGAACTTTCAGAACGAAGACACAAAGGCAGAAATGCCTCTCTTATGCTTACATTCTATGAAGCAGGGACAGTCCTGTAGAAATGTCATGGGATGAAATGACAGCAGTAGGCTAGAGAGGAACACACAAGGCCTGTGTTCAGATTCTTCCTGATTTCTCTGGTTGTAGCATTTCTTCCTCCCCAGTAATGGTCATGACCCTTCTGGAATGAGGGTCTTATGACCCACCATGGGAAAAGAGTGGGTCAGAGAATTTCTTTAGGTCTAGCTCCAAGACAGAAAGGTTGGGAGCAGGAGGACTAAGTGTAGTGTTTTTATGGGGGAAGGGGTTCCATTTCCTATGGCCTACTGTGGAGAAGAGGAATTCTCATTTATATGACTTGTTTCTGGGGAACATGGTGGGCAAGAGACAGGAGGGCAAGAGACAGGAGGGCCGGAGAAGGTCAGAGACGTTAGTTTGGAGGGATTCCGACTTGCTTTAGTTCACAGTACTCAGCATGCCAAAGTGCTGTACTTTGGGGTATCTTTTTCTTTTTGATCTCAACAAATTCAAAGAGGGAAACTAGAAAGAAAAGAAGCCACAGGCAGGACCTGAGGCAGAGGGAACGCAGGCACTGCAGATGTGGAACAGCCCAGAAGGTGGGTGGTCATATCTCAGGACCCTGACAGGGGCCAGGCACAGCTGCTGTTTCAAAAGGGTTTGTGGTGAGAAGAAAAGGCAGAAGGCCAGGGATGGTGGCACATGACTGTAATCCAGTGACTCGGGAAGTTGAGGTCCGAGGATCGCAGGTTCAAGTCCAGCCTCAGAAACTTAGCAAGGCTCTAAGCAACTTAGTGAGACTCTGTCTCAACAAAGGACAAAAAAAAAAAAAAAAAAAAAAAAAAAAAAAGACTGGGAATGTACCATTGGTACACTGCTCTGGGTTCAATCTCTGGGAGGTGGCTTCTCCATTGCATGTTTGGGCAGAGGAGACTTGAATACTTGAATAATTTAGTAAATTAACCTTTAGGAACACTTTACTGTAGGTCAGTTATTTACTGAACCCTTCATAAGCATGACCTTAATTGATATCATGAGAAGTAGTAAAGGGAGATAGTGTTATCATCCATACTTTACTGGAGAAGAATCTGAGGCACAGAGATGAAGTAATTTGCCTTTGGTTAGCTGGCTAGTTAGTGGCAGTGTTGGGATTCAAATGGGAGTTGTTGTTGGTTGTGGTCTGACTCCCCAGAGAAGGAAATCTGTCTTAAGGGTGAAGTTCCCTGAAGTTCCAAAAAAAAAAAGGTAGAGGCTCAGGAAGGAAATAATTCACAAGACAGTTCCTAAAAGACCCCTTCAGAGATGACCTCCTGCTAACATAAAACTTAAATCACATATTTATTAGCCATTTTGAATTTTCTCTGATCCATGGCATGTGAGTAACCTCATAGGGGAACATGGATGTGGCAAGTCCGGGGAATCTCAGTTCCTGGGGAGCAGGACCTCACTGGGGATAGTGGGCGGAGGCTGGATGCCACTACTATCAATTATCCTGTAGCTCTTACCCAGCCTCTACCCATCAGAAGGGATTAGCCAGCCTCCATGCATCAGAAGGGAAAGGAAGGGACGGGAAGGGATAAGTTAGTCCCTAAAAGTCTACTTGGCCATGAAAGTTGTCAGGTATGGCTACCCAAGCAGATGATAGTAGTCTCTCTGAGGGCTGGACCCTGGTTGGTCTTTCTGCCTAGTGCCCAAGTTCCATGAATGTTGAATGCAGGGGACATTTCCTGTCAGGTGCTGGTGAAAACCCTTGTTGGCTCTGTGAGTGTAGAAGGGATTGCTGGGAGGAGTTTTATGTAGACTGGGTATGTCAGGAAGTGGTGAGAT